CCTCCCCCGTTCATGCTCTGTCTCTCTCTGTCTCAAAAAAAAAAAAAAGTTAAAAAAAAAAAAAGAATTGAAACTTCTCTATAAAAAAATAAATAAATAAAAAGCTGAAATTCAGGTTTTCCTTTTGCATTTTCTTCAGTCATGGAACATGTGGGCATTTAAGTCCGATTTGTGGGCTGGATGAGGTCAGTGATGGTGAGCCAGGGTGATGGCAGTAAACATTTCTCTATGTATGTATATATGTATATCTCTCTTTTACCCCTCTCTTTCTTTTCTCCCTTCCTCTCTGTCAAGTCTTCTTCTTGGTTTTGTTCCATCAGTTTATTTTTTATTTATTTATTTATTTTTTGACAAGGTTAAACGTTCAAAATTTTAAAGGTATAAAAGGGAATTTAGTGAAAAATCTCCTTCCTACCCTGTCTTTCAGCTATCAAATTCTTCTCCCTCCAGGCAACCAATGTCATCAGTTCCTTGTGTATCCTCTTGGAATATTCTGTTTACCTTCTTTTTATATAAATTAATACCTACTATGCTGTACTGCTATCTGAATCTTGCTTTTTCACTTAATAATCTTAAAGATTATGGGGCACCTGGGGGGCTCAGTCGGTTAAGCAGCCGACTTTGCTCAGGTCATGATCTCACACTCTGTAAGTTCGAGCCCCGCATTGGACTCTGTTATGACAGCTCGGAGCCTGGAGCCTGCTTCCGATTCTGTGTCTCCCTCTCTCTCTGCTCCTCCCCTGCTCATACTCTGTCTCTCTCAAAAATAAACAAACATTAAAAAAATTTAATAATCTTGAAGATTATTCCACATTCATGTGTGGAAAGCTCCCTTGCTCTTCCTTAGTTTAGTTTTATTGTATTATATTTCATTTTATGTATGTATTATAAGGCCCAAGGGCAGGCCACCCCAAATATACCACTTTGGCATATTGAGTATTTTCAGTAATAGTTACTTAAGAGATGGCCTGTGCAAGAAGGACATTCAAACCCTCTTCTGTCCCCCTGAAAGCAGGAACTAAATATCCCATATGAAAGATACCCTCCTAGTACCAAGAAGTAGAGGTATCTTTATCACCAGAGATAGGAAATTTAGAGCCAAAAAGACTTGTTACTTTTTACTAATTTACTAACCCAGCCCAAATACTGTTTAGAATTCCTTAGTAACTGAAGCTCCCAAAGTTTTCTTTGTCCTGTCAATTCCTCATAGATTTATTGTCTCTATTTCTAAAAAGTATAAAAAATTCCTGCCTTGGTTATTTCTTTAGGTCTGTTTCATTATTGGGCCTCTGTGCACATGTAATAAAACTTTGTGGGTTTTTTCCTTCTGTTAATCTGTCTTATGTAAACTTAATTATTAGTCCAGCTAGAAGAAACTTGGACAGAGGAAATTTCTTCCTCCCTTTCAGTACCAGCGTGTATTTAACCCATTATCAATACCATTATTTATTTAACATCAGACTTTCTTTCTTTGTTTCTTTTTTCTTTCTTTCTTTGTTTCTTTGTTTGTTTCTTTCTTTCTCTTTCTTTTTCTTTCTTTCTTTCTCTTTCTTTCTTATCTTGCTATTACAAGTAATGTTGCAATGAGTAAACTTTTACATGTTATTTTGCTATAAGCAAATATATCTATAAGATAAATTCCTGAAATAGAATTTCTGGGTGAAAAAGTATATTCATTTGCAAATTGATAGATGCTGCCAAATTGTCCTTCATAGAGGTTGTACCAATGTACCTAATTACCTGCAAAGTATCAAAGTCTTCTGACTTTTTAAAAATGCACATATGAAGGAACTAAAACACATACATAGGAAGTATCAGAGACAACTTGATATGATCCTATGAACATAGGCCAATTGGATTGCTTATTGTTCCTTTCTTTGCTCTCTCTCGGGTAGATAATTTGCATCTCTCATATAGATTAAAGTTGTTTAACTCACAATTCTAAAATGGGACATCACATTAAAGATGCTTCTAATTTACAAACTGTTATTTAGCTGCATTTCAAACTATCAGAACCTCATGAATAAGTTGGTAGATTTGGTGGTTGGCTTACTCATTGTTTTTTAAAGTTTCAAGTTTGATAACTCTATATGTTAATTCTGCAGCTTGGGAACTTTTTGGTCTTGTACTGCTTTACTTTCCTAAACATTATTGAGAACTCCAAAGAGCTTCTGTTATGTGAGTTATATATGAGAGATGGGTATATATCAAGAAATGGGTAACTCATTAGGATACTGTTGTAATTCAGCTTGAGATTATTGATGTTGGACTAAAATGGTAGCAGTGGAAATGGTGACAAAAGAGTGAATCCACAAGACAATAAGACAGACACTCCAGGACTTGGTAACAGATTAGCTATGGGAACAAAAAGTATGGAATTTGAAGCTGCTCCAAGCTCTGGGTCTAGAACAATGAAGGTCTCCCTGGAACAGAAGATTAGGACCTTTATTTTAGAGATACTAGATTTGATGTGACTGTATCAGAGGGACAAACAAACAGTTTGAAACTTGTGATTATATCACAGCTGAATGACCAGGGTCAATATCCTTTATAAAATGAATTTTGAAGCACATGGATGAAAAAGGAAATGTTAGATTAGCGAGCACATTTGCTATAACCATAAAAACCAAAATATAGCCTTCTTTCATATTAACTTTATTAGTACTTATAAAATAAAAACAATTTATGAAAATATTTTCAGGATATAGAAACTACAGTCTTTGCAAAATACACACGCCTATAATTGTTACAATACATACATATCCTTGTGTATACCTCAGACATTATAAAAGTGTTTAAGAATGACACCCTGTAAAAGTTGAGAGAAGAAACATTTTCTCCAACCTTGGCCATATATTGTGACATTCAAGTACTTAAACCACACTTCTGAAATAAAACACATCTCTAGTGTACAGGCTGAAAGGGATTTAACTCTCAAAGTCCCATAAGTTGTTTTATTGTGCAAGGTAAAGAACCAAGAGAGGGTTCCCTGAGTTAATTTACCTTAGGTAACTCAAGCAGTGGTTTACTTTCTATACTTTATCATGGAAATAAGGGAGAAGGCCATGGGAACCCATCTCGGCCATGGGAACCCATCTCGGGCAGATCCTCCTCCCCAGTATTCCTATCTGTGCAGCATGGCTCCTCCTACAAGAGGATTTCTAACCTTTGAGCTCTAAAATGCTGATTCTGTAACTATCTATTTGCAAGATAATGCTCCTGCAACTCTAAATTCCAACACTGTGGATGAGGCTAAAGTTATAATGATAGTATGATTCCCCAAAGTAGACTTCATTTAAGATTTGTCAGGTGGAAAGCATTTAGGAAGATCAGCAAGCCAAAAATTCCCTCTTGGAACTATTGGAAAAGATCCTTTCTCACCAAGGCATAAACCTCAGAAGCCAAGTTCTTTCTTTCTTTGGAAGAATTGTGATGAAGGGGAGAGAAAGAGCCTATAATCTTTCAGATATGCAGGCTTAAGATAGTAACAGATGCTAGGTTGGACAGTAAGAGTTGGAGACCATTATAGCCTCACCAATAAAGCATTCATTATGATAATCATTCCCATGTACTCTCTACTTTCCAATTAACCTTCCAAGCTTTCCTAAATATTACATTCTCTCTTTAACTGCAGAGTATTGGCTGATGAAGTTCCAGATAGAAAATGTTTGAATTCATGATGTTAGTATCATCGGGCAGCATTGATATTTAATACCATAGTGATATACTAAAATTTAACAGTGATTTTTTTTTTATTATTCAAGACACTCTATTATTCAAGACACTACAGAAATCAATCAACCATGGATTCACAGGTCTTTACATTTAACATATAACATGAAGCATTATTACATATAATTCCATAAGGGGAAAAGACTATAAAAATAAGTTTAATAAGATTACTGCATTTTAAAAAGTTGTTTTAAAAAAATATATGCCAAAGTCCTCTAAATATTTGGTGTAGAGAGGGTAAGGGAGGTATCTATTAGGATGAACCATAATGAACTCTGGTTTTTGTAAGTTAAAAAGGTAAAATCTTGGCAATTTCATATGGTTCAACCTAATAAAATCCTGAGAAAATTGTATTTGGCATCACACTATAAATTCAAAAAGAATTTATAGAAAATCACATTTCTAGTGAGGGGGAAATACTTCAGGATGGAAATGTGCACACTGGTTTTGCCAAGATTTCTCTCTTGCGGCTTAAAGACCTGAAATCTCAGCAAGTTAAGAAAAACGTAGTGCCGTTTCACACACACACAAAAAAACCCAAAACCAGAGGACAATTAAAATTACAGAATGATAGCTACAGTTGTGAATGCCACCAAAACAGAAAACTTCTAGCCAAACCTGGTGATTAAAAACTTTTTAAACTTTACATATAAAAATTCTGGCATCAAAATGAAAAGGCACTCATGTGTGTTAAAAGAATAACCATGTATAAAAGCCTTGAAAATAAGGCTAATTCATTTGTATTAACACCATTAAGTAGGCACCTTTTCCAAGTTTCAGCTTTGGCCTCCTAAATGGAATTAGGTTTCAAATGAATTACCGACCTAATCTAATCATAGCAGCATTATTATCAATAAGTTTCTTAGCTTTTACACTGCTAAAAGAACATCTAAAGTTTCCTCCCCACCTATATCCCCTCAGTACCAAAAATACACTTTAAAAAATTACATTTATACCAGAGTCATAAAACATTTTGCAGTTTTTCTTCAACTAAAGACCTGATCTCCTACCATCACCACCCCAACAACAGCAAGTAAGAAACCAAACCAAAACCAAAACATAATTGAGAAAAAAGTAATTGCTAGACCACACTGGCTAACTCTTAGCTAATTAAAGACATAGCATATTCAAAAATGGTACTTTAATTATGAAATTTATTAAATATAATCAGTGAAGGAAATGCAGGCTTTCCAGGCGTGTGCGTGCGCGGTGTGTCCGCACTGAGGGATGATGCCCAGAAAAACCAAGAACGCACTTCTGCCACAGCCTTATTTGGAGCTCTGGCACCATTTCCGAATGGCCGCGCCGGTACTACTGGCTACAACGCACAGGGCCCCGCCCACCGTCCACCACGTGGGCATATCGTTAAAGAAAATAATCTGGAAGATGAAAGCAAAGACCACATCCATCGTCTTCATTATTGCCACTGGGCCTGCTTTTTCTATTTGGAGGGCTTTCGTGAGAAACACCTGACCCCCCAAACCAAACAGGCCGATGAGGATGAGAAACAGCCTGTCCAACCCGCAGTATGGCAGACTCCACTCCCCTATGATGAAGAGGACGATGACGCTCTCTAGGAGGCCGAGTACGACATAATACCAAATGCTCAGAAAGTAGTCCACGGACTTCCCCATCTTTCTGATGATGACCATGGTCACGGCGGCAAAGACAGCGTGCGCCACTGCTGCGAACGTGCCCTTCAGGTGAACAGAGTAGCTCTCGTCCGTGCCCGCAGCGCTGGCTCCGAACAGAAACGGGGGCCTCACGATGAGGATCACGCCGGTGATCGTGAAGGCGGTGAAGAGGGCATCCCAGGGGCTGTACTTCTCCTTGAGAAATATCCAAGCAAATATGGACGTGAACACTGGAGAACTAAACGTGATGACGGTGGCGTCGGCCAGGGACGTCGCCTGGAAAGCGTAGTACAAAAGGATCATGGCGGTGGAGCCCAGGACTCCTCTGAGGAGGAGGAAAATGCGTTGACCTTTGGGGCCTATGAATCCGGTTCTGTAAATTCAAATGAAAGAGCGCACATTAAACTACGGTGGTATTTTTTAAATTGCAGTTCTTAATTAGATGTTATTTTTACAGTCCTAACTGGCAAAAAATAAGGAAATAGTAAGTGAATTTTAAGGCCCATAACTGAATGTTATACACGTTCAAAAAAAATGGTTTCTACGTATAGCTAAAGCATGTACGTGTTCACAGTATAAGCAAAATCAATAAGAGAACTCCATAAATAGTATAATTACAATTCAACAAATATAACTTTTCCCATGTCTATACATGCTTACAAAAAAGACAAAAGGAAATGTTCATCGTGGTTAAACCTTAATAAGTGGTCTCCTAGGTGATTTTTCCTTATTTTCCCCAAATTTTCTACAATGACAATGTATGATTTTTATGATAAATACAATTTCAAGATTAAGCTGCCCTATACAAGAAAACTTGGTCGTGGCTAGTATGCATTGCCAATCTTACGAGTTTTTCTATAAAAGCTGAGGCAATGCTAAAGTGTAATTTAGCCACTGGATGTCAGACTACTTTTCATTATTCTCTGCAAGAAGAGTTAAGATACACTGAAAAAGAACAAGTAGCATTTGGATAAGTATAACAACTGATACTCAATTTTTTTTTTTTTTTTTTAATTAATACTTACCAAGCAGAATGCTGGGTACATTTCAGGCTAGGTGCAGCTTGCTGACCTGTGCCAGCACTGAACATCTTTAGGGTAGCCTATAAGCCTGACATGAGGACCCACATTTCATTTAGAAATGAAACTGTGGTCACCTTTGACTCATACTTTGAGAAGCTAAGAGTCTTCCATGATAATGAAACATAAAATAGGTCAAAACAGATTGGTGCTAAGGATTTCAAAAATTCTTCTAGTGCCTTCCCCTGCCAATTGTTCTGTTGCAAAATGGGGAAGATAATTGTGTTAGCACCAGTTGCCACCCTTGAAAATTTCTGAACTCGTACCATCATTTCCTAAAATACTGTGACTTGCCCACACTTATACAGGAATTTCTGACAATATTAATCTTAGTAGCTTTTCACCATTTTTCACCAGATCTTCAGGATACGGGGTGAAACTATTCTAAATGAATCTGTACTATGTTATAGATACAAGGAGAATTTGGGGGCAAGTGACTGAAACTTTTAGTTTAGGGTTTAAGCATTTTTGCCCAAAGAGAGAAAGAGCCAGACAGCCACCAGGAACCAAAGTGGCCTATCCTCCAAGGGTTCTAAGTACACAGGGATGTGTAGAAGGCATAATTTTAATCTGGGAAAGGGTGGGGAGGGTGTTCTATATGGAAGGGGAAGAGGCATTGGGTAGGGAGGGAACAGTAAGGATGGGGAAAAAAGACAGTTTTCATATACTGTTAGATTCTACACAAGTGCTCTGATCTATAATTAATTTTATTTGGCCCTTGCCACCAAGGTGCAGGGTAGAGGACAAAGATTATCATTCCCTCCAGTTCACAGATGAGGACACTATAAACATGAAAGTATTTTAAAAGGTCTTGTTCAAGACTACCTTTCCCCTTTCCCATATCACCCTAGGGGCAAGACCCTGATATTATTACTTTAATCTTCTGTCTGCCCTGGTAACAGAGCAGTCCATTCTACTGAAAGAAACTTGATATTAGGAGACACCACCACTTCCTCTCATTTACTTTTTTCTTCTAAATACTAGTTATGCAGAGGGAAAGAAGGGAGGGTGGTACAAGATGGAGGAATTGTACAAGGAAAGCTTTGTTCTCAAAATGAGGAGTGGAGAATAACTGAATCTACCCCCCCCCCCTTCTTGGGTATGTGGTTTGTGCTTATAAGAGCATCTTTTGTAGGTGAATCCTTATGACTTTTTATTAATCAGAGCCAAACAATGTAGTAACTGGTAAATCTATGGGAGGGATAAAGCAGACACTGTAGAATAAATAATTTAAGCAGGTCAAAAGATTTACATACATTTGTTAATACCTTCCACTTCGCAGGTAAGAAATACTTACTTTCTGTATATTAAGCAAGGGATAACGACTAGCATTTGGAACACACATCGGAATGCACTAATTTCTACAGCATGGACGTCTTGCACTTTTTTAACAAATAAAGAGCCCACTGAGAAAAGGAAGGCAGATAATAATGTATAAAACAAGCCAAGTCCAGGACAGCGTGCTTTCTTCTTGGCTTCTGAAAAAGATTAAGTTCTGGTTAGTCCTTGCTTCCAAGTGTATGTTTTAATATTTTCACTTAGGAATTGAGAAAAATGGAACAGTGTTAATGGCTAACAGGCTACAAATACTGTCTCCTAAGCATGTCCATTCTCTGGACCTGAAACATTTTCCCCACCAAGAATGAGGAATCACTGATGTAGGCAACAATTTAAACCCATAATTTTTAAATGCAGTTTTACCCTATAAAATGGATTTCCTTTGGCTCACTGAAGAATCATTACTCACTTATAAGTCAAAAAGAAGTAAAAAAGCTTGCCAAGACAGTGAGAGAAATCTTTAAGAAACGCTTGTCAAGATGGCTAGAGAAAAATGCTTCCAAGTGATATTTTATATCATCTCACTGGTGAACCTGGCTTTATGAAGAAAGTGTTTTTTTTCTAGACAACAGTTTACAGCTGTGTCCTATGGCTACTTGTTGATTATCTTACTTCTCCCAGTAGCCTGTGAACCCTTCCAGGCTGGGACCTCAGCTGTCTTGTTTGTGCCTGCCACATGGAAGACCCCGATTAAATATTTGCTAAATTAAAGTATATGAGAGAACTCTATAGAAAGATGCACAGTCTAACACCACTGGTAACAGCCTACTCTGGGAAAGCTGTTTTGTTATTTTGAACGATTAATCAAATCTTTTACTTTTCATGGTTTTACAACTTATCTTCCATTTAGAGCATAAACTCTTTGAGGACAGAGGGTAGGTCTACCCCTCTGACCTCAAAGCGCTTTAAAATAAAATTTTTAAAAAATTACAACTGCCATTTAATACCAACTTCTTGGCTTGATCTGAACCAAGAAACTTCTGCTTTCTCTAGGGCATCAAGTATTCAATCCATTAGTGACTATGAGCATTCAACTTTTGTTTAGCCACTTCTGTCTTAGTTACCGAACACAGGACTAAAATCTGTCTTCAATCTCATACTCACCCCAAACCCATCATTCAGAGGGAAGCAAAATGGGACAGGGTAAGCAGAGAACTCCCTAAAAGACAGGTGACAAACTGAGGAACGTATTAGTATTTTTTTCTTTATTGAAACTAATACAAAACAAGAAAAGAATATGAAGGAAATGCTACTGGCCCTCATCAGTTAAGAACATAGCAAAATGGAAAGGTGTGTGGGTACTTGCAATTTCTAGTAAAACTAGGATTATCATTCCAATCTAGGAATTTATAATGTGTTACTTGGCTAGAGAACAGTTTTGCATAATAATGTTTTTAAAAAATGTCCTTCTCTGATAAATGCAAACACCCAGTAATACATTTCAATATCCTCATGTTAGCTGGATACCTTTGCCCACAAGTGACAGACACTTTGTGACTCAGGACCAAAGTATGATGGTGCACAATCTTTGTGTGTGTCTTTGTGACTCAGGACAAGGTATGATGGTGCGCTGTACAGCCTGACCTTTGTAGCAAGAGATACCATTGTGGTCAGAGGCCTTTACCTCTTCCTGTTCCAGGTGCACAGTCGAAGAGAATCATTTGGAGCTACCAGTCATCGTGTCACAGATTATGTATTGTAAGTACCAGAATCCTCCACATTCTGTTCAACACCTATGTGGCTCAGATACCACAGAAACAAACTGCACATACTTACTCAGCCCATGAGAAGGAAACTTTAGACGACTTCCAAGTTAAGCACCACAAAATACATGTCTTGGCTGTGGTCAGCCTCAGTGTTCAGCTTCTGAAATTTCAGGGTTCAGGTCCAAATAAAATAGTTTTTCTTAAAAGAAACCCAACCCATGCATAGAACCAACACCCTCACACAGAACAGAACAGGAAGATCAAGGACAGAAAACATCTCCCCGGTCTGTATTTCAAGGATCTTCCCCAACCTAAACTTTTAAATTTTTCTCCAAAAAATTTTAACTTAACATGATATTTTAACTGTTTTATTTATTTATTTAATTTTAACTCTTTTAAAACTCAATTTTATACCCCTAGTTCTGATTATCTTGTCTCTTAAAACACTCCCATATTTTCTTGCCTATAAACACCCTATGACCCATGATTGCTGACTGCAACAGGGCAGTTGTTACAAGGCCTGGCTGAACTTGATTATTTCTTATGAGGGTGAGGCTTGGTTCTACTCATGCAGACCTCTCTTACTGAATAATAATTTCCATTCTGCCAAGGGAGATGAACAAGAGAGTAGCATCATCCAAAGATGCATTTGTTTCTGTACTGTGCTTCTATGATCATATTCCACTACAAGCATAGCTAAATAATTCAAATTAAGTGGCCACGGTGTAATTTCTTGAGTTAGAAGAAAACTGAAAAGTTGCTCAGTTTCTCTATCCTTTAAAGTGGTGATTCACAACCCTGGCTGGGAATCAGAATCAACTGGGTAATTTTTTAAACTTCAGGTCCCGAGCCGCACCCCAGACCCACTGCTACAAGATCTCTGCGACTGTAAAAGCCCTGCCAGCTAGAGAACCACTGCTACACTAGAGAACTTCCTCCAGGGGCGTGTGAGGCACACATCTAAGACAGTTTCTTGCTTCAGGCTAAGATCCACACTGTCCCTCAAGAAAATAAATAGACATCTTAGGACAGCTGTATGCTGTCTGTGAAGGTTATCCAAGAATGTAGAAAAATGGGTAACAGTTTCAACCTGAACTTGAAAATGAGCTTTCTTGAGATAACCAGTTGGATCAAGCAGTTAAAGTGATACTGTCACAAAGTTCAATGACAACAAACAGTACAGTGGTTTAAAGTGTTTCTATGGCAGTCCTGTTTTCAGAATATTATCTGGTCACCTTACAATAACTATTACTAAGTCTCACTGTTAGCAATTTTCTTTGAAGTTAAAAGACGCCACAAGATTCTTAGGTGCAGTCGCTTATAATGTTTATCATTTTGCCATGTGCTGCCTGAGGGTACAGTATTCCTCTTTGGTTTACAAACAGCAGAAACATTTAAGAGTTTACAAGGACTGACTCAGCATTCCACCAAAATGACATTCAACCATAATAACTGATAAGGTGAGAAATTCACCTCTTTACAAGCTACACATCTGGTCTACACAGCTTGGAGTAGCCCCTTCTCTGGAGGCACCAGCCCATGCATAAATAATCAGAAGTCTGATCATTTTGGGGGCGCCTGGGTGGCTCAGTCGGTTGAGCATCCAGCTCTTGATTTCGGCTCAGGTCATGATCCCAGGGTCGTGGGATCAAGCCCCATGTGTGGCTCTGCACTGAGCATGGGGCCTGCTTGGGCTTCTTCCCCTCTCTCCTTCTCCCTCTGCCTCTCTCCCCTCTCTTCCCTGCGTGCTCTCTAAAATTACTTAAAAAAAGTTTTTTTTAATTAAAAAAAAAAAGAAGTCTGACCATTGTTAGCATTTAGGACAAAAATGGAGCAAGAATCATCTGGGCTTCGTCTCTCTAAATTAGGGGAAAGTTCCTAATAGGGAGAAGGGGGAATGGGGTGGGGATAAGAGGCATAGAAATCAGGGTCACACTTATAGGAGGCCACCCAGAGGATGAGATGGTGCTGGCTGTGTAACTTTGTCTTCAAGGGAGATCTACCTATTTCCTCTGTTTCCAGGAAAATGACTTAGGTGGGTGGTGGAGTTAAGGAGGAATGTGCTTACAGTAGCACTGTGGTCAGTAGAAAAGGCCTAGCCTGGGACTCTGGCATGCTGGGATCCTTAACTTTGGTGCTGCAGGGACTTGTGCCATGTCTCACCCACACATGCCAGATCTAGGGAAAAACAAAGCAACCCCCACCGCCAAGCCCTCACCTTCCTGGGCTTCACTTCCCTCATTTGTGGAAAGAAGAGGTTGAACAAGATCAAGGTGTTTTTACAAAGGGTCTCTGGCTTTGGACACAGGTCTGGGAACCTCTTAACAATGTATATAAGATTGTGCCTCTGCCTTGTTTAGGATTAGTTGCCAAGAAAGTCCTCCTATATTTTAGGTATACAATACAGTGGTTCAAATTTTTAAAAACAGAAAAAAAAAGAATATATTACAAAATATTCATTATATTAACAATGGACATTTGGTTTAGTTCAGTGAGTTGTTATGAATAAAGATATTGTAAAATTTACAACAACAAAAAAGTCCTCCTAACCCCAAAAGCTTAAGAACCTGTGGTCCCACTCAACTCTACCTTCCCAAGATTCTAAGACTCTGAGGCAAACATTTTCTAGGCTCTATGCTTTTCAACTTCCTCTTCAGGGAACACGGCTTCCTACTGTGATCAGTGTTCACGGTTAGCTCTCCACCCCCAACCTCACCTGTCTGCGGGATGGCCTCTCTTACTGACCCCCCAGCCTCACTCGCCTGAGGGATGGCCTCTCTTACTGACCCCCCCCC